ATATATATATATATATATATATATATATATATATATAATAATTATCATAACTACATAAATTGCTTGCACGTAGGTTACTGTAAAAACTGACACTGAAACAATTATTATCTGTGAATGGTATTGTTACATATATATGTTATTTAATGTTAAGCAGCGTTAACCAAAACATTTAAAATGTTGATGTATGCAAATACTAGTACACAAGTATTTCAATATTCTGCTTTTGCTTTTCATTGTAGCTTATCCACAAATAAACATCACTTGTTAAAATAAATACACGAAAAAGAACTATCAACAAACTGCATCATAACTCGAAGAATATATTTATGGTCTCCAAAATATTGTTAGATAGGTACTATTGTGTGTGAATAAACATTTTTATGGGAGTAACTTTCGTTAGAAGGTGTTCCTACCTAATTTTCCTGTTATTCGTATTTAGATGTCACTGTGTACTTACTTTTTGTAATGTAAATGAATATGTTGTATGTGTGTATGAACATTTTGGCTGCTCAACGCCCGAGTGATTAGTTGATGCCAGAAAAGCATCAACAAATAAATTTTCGGTACAAGCTAGAAGGCGCCAGCATTGCAGTGATGGCGAGGGTTATCAATAAAAATTGGAATATGAAAGAAGAAAAATCAAATAGATTTATGGCGAAATATCGGGTACTTAGTTACTAGATGTGAAAGTAATGGAGTTTAATGTAAGTATTAAGCAGATATTACCTAAACAGTAGGCACAATAACGATACTTGTAGCTTTAGCGGTCCAATTCTGAATTATTGTGTTATGTAAGTATTTTGCCATTAATTTTTTACCGATATGTACCAAACGTGACGATGAACAGATGTTTCCTTGTAAATTTTGTGAGTTTAGGCTGTCACCTAGCATTTGGCTGTAGTGTTTGCACGCTATCAGATTGTTTCATGGTTATGTATTTATTGTTTATATGGTATATAGTGTGAAATATTTTGCCTTTAGTGAAATAAAGTGTCATTTGTTTTGTTATAAGTGTTGTGTAAAACGTTTTCAACCGAAGTTAGTTCCTTCATAAAATCTCGATAACTAGATAAAGTCAGTGAATTCTTGATTATTTGAATCGCAACTCATGTTTCACATTTCTTTCATTTTTGGGATAATTCACGGAAAGAAAGAAAAGATTGCACGTTAAATGTGGTTTTCTATGCACACGACTGGTTGTTATGTGATATTTTTCAAATATACCAAGGTTTATTAAGCCAATTGAGTTGCGATGGAAAAAGTAAATTTTTGAAACTCCCTTAAATTGTCTTTCTTGTAAAAGAAACGACATAAACGACTAAGTCTTGAAAATTTTATGAGAAATGGATTTTTTGAAATTCATAAGTAAATAAGGTTGACCTTTTCATGCAAATATTAGGAAAAGATGGCCAAAATACTGACAGAAATACCAAACTTAATTAAGCCTTGGGAGTTTCACGAAAAATACTAGTTGTGTGCATCCTTTCTCTACGATAAATACAAAATTGAAGATTGAGAAATCTGTGAGAAAAAAAAAAAAGAAGCTTAAGGCTTACCAGTTTTGATGAAATAGCTAATTTTCGAAGTGTCTTTATTATGTTTTGTCTCTATCACAAAAGAAAAATAAAATTGAAGATCGAC